AACAGAAACTCTACAAGCCAGAAGGGAGTGGCATGATATACTTAAAGTGATGAAAGGGAAGAACCTACAATCAAGATTACTCTACCTGGCAAGGATCTTATTCAGATTCGATGGAGAAATCAAAAGCTATACAGACAAACGAAAGCTAAGAGAACTCAGCACCACCAAACCAGCTCTATAACAAATGCTAAAGGAGCTTCTCTAAGTGGGAAACACAAGAGGAGAAAAGGACCAACGAAAACAAACCCAAAACAATTAACAAAATGGTCATAGGAACATACATATCGATAATTACCTTAAATGTGAATGGATTAAATGCTCCAACCAAAAGACACAGGCTGGCTGAATGGATACAAAACCAAGCCCCATATATATGCTGTCTACAAGAGACCCACTTCAGACCTAGGGACACATACAGACTGAAAGTGAAGGAATGGAAAAAGATATTCCATGCAAATGGAAATCAAAAGAAAGCTGGAGTAGCAATACTCATATCAGATAAAACAGACTTTAAAATAAAGAATGTTACAAGAGACAAGGAAGGACACTACATAATGATCAAGGGATCAATCCAAGAAGATATAACAATTACAAATATATATGCACCCAACATGGAAGCACCTCAATACATAAGGCAATGGCTAACAGCTATAAAAGAGGAAAACGACAGTAACACAATAATACTGGGGGACTTACACCTCACTTACATCAATGGACAGATCATCCAGACAGAAAGTTAATAAGGAAACACAAGCTTTAAATGACACAATAGACCAGATAGATTTAATTGATATTTATAGGACATTCCATCCAAAAACAGCAGATTACACTTTCTTCTCAAGTGCTCACGGAACATTCTCCAGGATAGATCACATCTTGGGTCACAAATCAAGCCTCAATTAATTTAAGAAAATTGAAATCATATCAAGCATCTTCTCCGACCACAATGCTATGAGATTAGAAATGAATCACAGGGAAAAAAAAGTAAAAAACACAAACACATGGAGGCTAAACAATACGTTACTAAATAACCAAGAGATCACTGAAGAAATCAAAAAGGAAATCAAAAAATGCCTAGAGACAAATGACAATGAAAACACGACGATCCAAAACCTATGGGATGCAGCTAAATCAGTTCTAAGAGGGAAGTTTATAGCTATACAAGCCTACCTCAAGAAACAAGAAAAATCTCAAATAAACAATGTAATCTTACACCTAAAGGAACTAGACAAAGAAGAACAAACAAAACCCAAAGTTGGCAGAAGGAAAGAAATCAAAAAGATCAGAGCAGAAATAAATGAAATAGAAACAAAGAAAACAATAGCAATCTCAATAAAACTAAAAGCTGATTGTTTGAGAAGATAAAATTGATAAACCATTAGCCAGACTCATGAAAAAACAGAGGGAGAGGACTCAAATCAATAAAATTAGAAATGAAAAAGGAGAAGTTACAACAGACACTGCAGAAATACAAAGCATTCTAAGAGACTACTACAAGCAACTCTATGCCAGTAAAATGGACAACCTGGAAGAAATGGACAAATTCTTAAAAAGGTATAACCTTCCAAGACTGAACCAGGAAGAAATAGAAAATATGAACAATAGGGAGGGTGGGAGGGAGGGAGACACAAGAGGGAAGAGATACGGGAACATATGTATATGTATAACTGATTCACTTTGTTATAAAGCAGAAATTAACACACCATTGTAAAGCAATTATACCCCAATAAAGATGTTTAAAAAAAAAAAAGAAAGAAAATATGAACAGACCAATCACAAGTAATGAAATTGAAACTGTGATTAAAAATCTTCCAACAAACAAAAGTCCAGGACCAGATGGCTGCACAGGTGAATTCTATCAGACATTTAGAGAAGAGCTAACACCCATCCTTCTCAAACTCTTCCAAAAAATTGCAGAGGAAGAAACACTCCCAAACTCATTCTATAAGGCCACCATCACCCTGATACCTAAACCAGACAAAGATACTACAAAAAAAGAAAATTACAGACCAATATCACTCATGAATATACATGCAAAAATCCTCAAGAAAATACTAGCAAACAGAATCCAACAACACATTAAAGGGATCATACACCATGATCAAGTGGGGTTTATCCAAGGGATGCAAGGATTCTTCAGTATATGCAAATCAATCAATGTGATACACCATATTAACAAATTGAAGAATAAAAACCACATGATCATCTCAATAGATGCAGAAAAAGATTTTGACAAAATTCAACATCCATTTATGATAAAAACCCTCCAGAAAGTGGGCATAGAGGGAACTTACCTCAACATAATAAAGGCCATATATGACAAACCCACAGCCAACATCATTCTCAATGGTGAGAAACTGAATGCATTTCCTCTAAGATTAAGAACAAGACAAGGATGTCCACTCTCACCACTATTATTCAACATAATTTTGGAAGTCCTAGCCACGTCAATCAGAGAAGAGAAAGAAATAAAAGGAATACAAATTGGAAAAGAAGAAGTGAAACTGTCACTGTTTGCAGATGACATGATACTATACATAGGGAATCCTAAAAATGCCACCAGAAAACTACTAGAGCTAATCAATGAATTTGGTAAAGTTGCAGGATACAAAATTAATGCACAGAGATCTCTTGCATTCCTATACACTAACAACGAAAGATCAGAAAGAGAAATTAAGGAAACAATCCCATTCACCACTGCAACAAAAAGAATCAAATACCTAGGAATAAACCTACCTAAAGAGGTAAAAGACCTGTACTCAGAAAACAATAAGACACTGATGAAAGAAATCAAACATGACACAAACAGATGGAGAGAGATATATCATGTTCTTGGACTGGAAGAATCAATATTGTGAAAATGACTATACTACCCAAAGCAATCTACAGATTCAATGCAATCCCTATCAAATTACCAATGGCATTTTTTACAGAACTAGAACAAAAAATCTTAAAATTTGTATGAAGACACAAAAGACCCCGAATAGCCAAAGCAATATTGAGGGGAAAAAAACAGAGCTGGAGGAATCAGACTCCCTGACTTCAGACTATACTACAAAGCTACAGTAATCAAGACAATATGGTACTGGCACAAAACCAGAAATATAGATCACTGATACAGGATAGAAAGCCCAGAGATAAACCCATGCACCTATGGTCAACTAAGCTATGACAAAGGAGGCAAGGATATACAATGCAGAAAAGACAATCTCTTCAATAAGTGGTGTTGGGAAAACTGGACAGTTACATGTAAAAGAATGAAATCAGAACACTCCCTAACACCATACACAAAAATAAGCTCAAACTGGATTAGAGACCTAAATGTAAGACCGGGCACTATAAAACTCTTAGAGGAAAACATAGGAAGAACACTCTTTGACATAAATCACAGCAAGATATTTTTTGATCCACTTCCTAGAGTAATGGAAATAAAAACAAAATAAACAAGTGAAACCTAATGAAACTTTTGCAAAGCAAAGGAAACTACAGTCAAGACGAAAAGACAACCCTTAAAATGGGAGAAAATATTTGCAAATGAATTAACGGACAAAGGATTAATCTCCAAAATATATAAACAGCTCATGCAGCTCAATATTAAGAAAACAAACAACCCAATCAAAAAATGGACAGAACACATAAATAGACATTTCTCCAAAGACATACAGATGGCCAAGAAGCACATGAAAAGCTGCTCAACATCACTAGTTATTAGAGAAATGCAAATCAAAACTACAATGAGGTATCACCTCACACCAGTTAGAATGGGCATCATCAGAAAATCTACAAACAACAAACGCTGGAGAGGGTGTGGAGAAAAGGGATCCCTCTTGCACTGTTGGTGGGAATGTAAATTGATACAGCCACTATGGAGAACAGTATGGAGATTCCTTAAAAAACTAAAAATAGAATTACCATATGACCCAGCAATTCCATTACTGGGTGTATACCCAGAGAAAACCATAATTCAAAAAGAAACATGCACCCCAATATTCGTTGCAGCACTGTTTACAAGAGCTAGGTCATGGAAGCAACCTAAATGCCCATCGACAGACAAATGGATAAAGAAGATGTGGTACATATATACAATAGAATATTACTCAGCCATAAAAAGGAACGAAATTGGGTCATTTGTAGAGACGTGGATGGATCTAGAGACTGTCACACAGAGTGAAGTAAGTCAGAAAGAGAAAAACAAATATCGTATATTAACGCATACATGTGGAACCTAGAAAAATGGTACAGATGAGCAGGTTTGCAGGGCTAAAATAGAGTCACAGATGTAGAGAACAAACATATGAACACCAAGGGGGGAAACTGATGGTGGGGGATGGTGATGGTGGGATGAATTGGGAGATTGGGGTTGACATATATACACTAATATGTATAAAATAGATAACTAGTAAGAACCTGCTGTATAAAAAATAAATGAAATAAAATTAAAATTTTTTTAAAAGAGAAAGAAAGGGAAATATCCCCAATTAAATGAGGAAGTCAAAAAGGGAACTAGGAGGAATGGATTGATCACTTTGATCACATAAATATTGATCACATAAAATATTAATTATTCTAAAGCAGAATTGCTGTGCCAAAGGCTGATTTGAGTCCTTTATCAATCTCTCAGCCCCCTGTAGAATGTGATTTAGACATTGACCCTATTACATTGTTAGTTACATGCCCTACAAAGGTACCTTCAAGAACCTCCATTCCACATGGAGGGTCTTGTAGAATGTGATTTGGACATTGACCCTATTACATTGTTATTTACATGCTCTACAAAGGTACCTTCAAGACCCCCCATTCCACAAGGATTGCCCCCGATAAGCCGCTTTCTCTATGTGTATCCTGGAGGTCCCACTAAACTCAGTGACAGTATCTGGAGACAATCCTGAAAAACTTGGGTGACCATCGCTGACCAGCACAGAGCTGGCTCACAATAGGGCCCCAGTTAAAATGTTACAAATACAACTGGATCAAACCTTTAAAGCACGAAATTAAAACAATCCTCCTAAGGAAGGAAATCTGAGTTTCAAAAGAGGAACTTCATATTGAGTATCTAACCAGCAACTGATGATGATATTCACAGATGAATCTGATTGGTTCTCCAAAACTGAGACGACCCAATCCAGGAACAAAGAAATGAGTTCCTTGGTTGGTAATGTTTGAGATGTGGGTTGGAGGAGGGTCCTAGTCCTCACTGAGATTTGTCTGCTCCCCTACACCCTGTCTTCTTCTCTTCTTCTGCATGGTGTGCCTTTGGTTCCCCGCAGGCTCCTGGACAGTAATACTGACAGTGATGCTGATGGTGCTGAGCCCGCTCCTGGCTTGGGCTGGAGAGGTAAGCGCACACCTTTGATGGTGAGCTATTTTGGGGTGTGGGGGAAGGGAGGGAGTTAGCTTTGTCTGGGTCCAGGCATGTCACTTAAAACACCGACATCTGGGCTTCCCTGGTGGCGCGGTGGTTGGGAGTGCGCCTGCCGATGCAGGGGACACGGGTTCGTGCCCCGGTCCGGGAGGATCCCACATGCCGCGGAGCGGCTGGGCCCGTGAGCCATGGCCGCTGGGCCTGCGCGTCCGGAGCCTGTGCTCCGCAACGGGAGAGGCCATAGCGGTGAGAGGCCCGCGTACCGCCAAAAAAAAAAGAAAAAAAAAAAACCACCGACATCTTCTTCAGTGACTACTTACCTTTATCACATGGATCCTCAATTCCTTCCACAAACAAAAGGAGCCTGGATACTTGCCCTCTTTATAAGACCAGCATAAGGTGCCTTCGTATATATACATATAGGCTATTTCTTGTCAACTCTCTTCTAATAAAACCTCTCCAGCCTTATATCCCATTCCCTCGGGGTTTTGAGAGGATTTAGAAATGCTTTCAAAAATAATCTAAAATGATTATTAATGATTTCAAAACAATTCCCATCCGTGGTTCCCTTTATTCTGTTGAGTTATGCCAGAAAATGGGAATAATCCTCTGAAAATTTTATGGGGACTCAAAAGGAATTAGAAAGATCTCTCCTAGAAGATCCTGTGGTATGTCCATGGGATCTGTGATGCGGCTACCTCTCACTAATACGTGAGGATGTATCAAGAGACCTCACCATTGTCTCCTTTTCTTTTCTTTTTTTTAAGTTGAAGTATAGTTGATTTACAATATCAAGTTAGTTTCAGGTATACAGCACAGCACTTCAGTTATATATATATATTATATATTATACATATATATATTCTTTTACAGATTTTTTTCCCTTATAGGTTATTACAAAATATTGAGTAGAGTTCCCTGTGCTGTACAGTAAGTCCTTGTTGGTTATCTATTGTCTCCTTTTCTTTCTCCCTAAACCCCACTGTTCATAAGGCCTGTATGCCTGTACTGGAGGTACTCTGACAAAAGCTGGGGTTAGTTTTCTCCCTATTTCTCCTGCGTAAAGCACTCTGGACCTGAAGCAGGGATCCTTAGTACTAAGAATGACCCTGTAGTTAAGGAGCATCTAAGGGGCATTCTGTGATGCCTTAAAGAACTCATAAGAACTGAAAACCTGACACAGGTTAGTTCTTATTAGTGCTTATTCTATTTTGAACCTTTCTATCCTATCAGTTTCTCCTATATCTCCTCTTTCTGTGGCCTGAACCCGCAAGAAGAGATTCAACTAGTATAGAATAAATTATGAAATTATATTTTTATAAACTCCAAATAGTCAAATATCAGCAATTTCATATGGTTCAAACCATACACCCTGAGCAGGATACAGAGCATGTGAAGGCTGTTTCCATCCCATAGGGCTGAAAGCCACTAAGGAAATCAAGGGAACTCATTGACCTCTTGGAGTCTTGGGCCCAAATTTCATAGGTTCATTCATCATGCCATCTATTTTCCATAATTAGCTGTCTTTGGTTACCTCTCCTTCCAGTTTTTCCCTATTCTTTCCCCTACTATGTCATCACCGTTACTAAAAATCCCCGGTTTGCACAAACCCTCAGCACTATAACAGACGCATTGGATGAAATGAAACTTCATGAAATGTTCCCTATCTCTTAAAAATCACCTTTTCCTTACCTGTGAATGTTTCTTCCAAGTAGTAAGAGGAGAAAGAGGAAGTTAGTCTGAATTTCTCACAGGAAAGTAGAAGAGACATAGGTGTCATGATTACAAAAGTGTGTTGGAACTGGAGCCCCTTCTTGCTTTACCAGGAGTCCCACAAAGATCCATTCCCAAAACTATGGCTTTATTCATTTAGATGACAAATACTTCTTTGAGCAACTATTATATACTGGGCTCTGTCCTAGGCACAGGGGATTCTATTTGAATAACAGAAAAAAAAGTCCCTTATGATCATGGAAGTTACCTAATGACAAGAGAGAAAGACAACAACCCAATAAACATTGAACCAAGAAGAACATTTCAAACAGCAATAAATGCTCTGAAAAAAAATGTAAGGGTTAAGGGACTGAGAAAATTGTATTCACCTGACTTCAGTGCAAGTGTCTACAGGGCTCTTCCTGTGACATTCAATTGAGACATAAATGATGAGAATAAGCCAGACATGGGAAGGATCTAAGGGACAAATGCTCCAGGGAGAGGAACCAGGGGAAAGGTCAAAGTGTGGGAAGATGTTTGCTGTGTTTAAGGGATGGAAAGAAGGTTAGAGGAGCTGAAGCAGAGAAAGCAAGTTGGGGAGTGGAATAAGATGAGGTTAGAGAGAAAGTCAGGAGTCAAATCATGTTAGGCCCTGATGGCCATAGTGAGAAATTTGACTTTTATTTACAGAGCTATGTGAAGCTACTAAGGGGTTACAAGGAGAGTCCATTTATATTTATTTTAAAAACTAATTCTAGCTACCACATGGAGATTGGATTGCAGGGGTTCCAAGTGAAGTTACAGAGACCAGTTAGGGGAGAGTAGAAGGGTTCTCCAGGGAAGATGTGCCTGTGACTTCATTTAGTGTAGTAGCGATGAAGTGAACAGATTTGGGATAGATTGTTGAGTGACTTGTTAATGAATTAAATGGTGAGAGTTGGAAGATAGAAAATCAAAAGCTTATCCCTCAGGATTTTGTCTTGCATGATAACTACGTGGATGGTGGCGCTGTTTATTGAGATAGGGAGGACTATGGACCAGTACATCTCCTTAGACTGGATCCAAAAGTCACCTAATTAATATAAAAGACTCATTTATTGATTTTACCCCTTAGGAAATTTCCAGGGTTTTAGGAGACCTGTGGCAGAAACGGGGATGAAGAACAAATACATGTTTCTTATCATAAATCACAATATCACAGTGACTAATTGCCAAGGCAAAGAAATCAGTCAACTTTGGTTGGACTGAACAAATTTATTTTATTGGAAAAAACAGCTCTTCACTGGGACCGGCTTCCCAAAAAACATATTTCATGTAGGACCAAGATTTTCAACAGAAATAATATTGGCAAATTTTTCTATGTCACTCTCAGCTGCTCCATACTTGAGAGTGGTTTCTCCAGGACAGTTTTTTCATATGATTTACACCCATGGTTCTCACCCAATGACAGCTCAGCACTCTTTCTCCCCGTTCCTTCACCCGCCGCAGAACACTGGCTCCAGATAGCGCCATTTTTAGTTGTCACACAGGGGGTTTCTTTTGACAACTAGTGGGTAGAGGCCAGGAAAGCTGATAGACAGGCTACTATGCACAGAACAGCTCCCTCTCCCCAGCCACAAAGAACCACCTGGTCCAAAATGTCTATAGTGCTGAGGTTGAAAACACCGCTTTATATACACTATGCTGCTTCTAGAAATTCTAGACTTACACTTTCTACACACATTCACCTTCCAGTTCAACTCTTCATGGTTTTATTTAGCTTGTTTCATTACCCCCAAAACTAGACAGTTGAACAAATTCATTACTTTCTTGTTGAATCCATTCAATCAAAGCAAGTTCAAGATCTTCATTTTTATTTTTTGCCTTACGCCATGTTTTTCAAAATGTCACGAGTTCTTGGTCATCACATCTCTATTTGATTTCAACAACTTGTCTTTTTAAGTCATAAATAGTGGTGGCTGTTACAATATTTTTCAGTAAAATGCCTCAAATTTCTGCAGCAATGCTACTTTCCACACTATTGATGATATCAGAAACTTCCATTTATTCTTCTTACCTTTAACCACAGGGTTATTCTTTAACTCTTTTTGACATTTTCACAATTCAACTAAATCTAAAGACAAAAATATTTTCATTTTTGAAAGAAACAAAAACATTCATTTGAAAACATACATGCAACCCAATGTTCACTGCAGCATTATTTACAAATATCCAAGATGCAGAAGCAACCTAAGTGTCCATCAACAAATGAATGGGTAAAGATGTGGTTTGTGTATATATATATATATATATATATATATATATATACACACACACACACATACACACACACACAGTGGACTATTACTCAGCCATAAAAAAGAATGAAATTCTGCCATTTGCAACAATGTGGATGGACCTACAGAGTATTATGGTTAGTGGAATAAGTCAGACAGAGAAAGTCAAATACTCTGTGTTATCACTTATAAGTGGAATCTAAAAAATAAAACAAATGTATATGACAAAACAGAAACAGACTCACAAAGAGTGAACTAGTGGCTACAAGTGTGGAAATGGAAGGGGAGAAGGGCAAGATAAAGGTATGGGATTAAGAGATACAAACTACTGTGAATAAAATAAATAAGCAACAAGATATACTGTACAACACAGGGAAATATAACCATTATTTTGTAATAACTTTAAACGGAGTATAACTTTTAACAATATTGAATCATTATGTTGTACACTTGGAACTAACATAATGTTAATGATACTGTAATTTAATACCAAAATATCAAAAATATGTGCATTCATATGATATATATGTGTATATTTATGTCTATGTGTATCTTTACACACAGTGAAGCTACAGAACCATATGTAACCAATACGAGCTCTGAGACACATTTGACCCCTTCCCTCAGCAGGTCAGATTTGCCAAATGAATTTTAGCAGCAAATTTTTAGAAAATCTGATTTTCTGAGCTATCCAGATTTGGAAATGCAGAAAAGGAATTGTGGACCTGTATTGGGGTTATGGTTTTAATCTCCTAAAACTCTTCAATAGTTCTCATTACGTTTAGCATAAAGTCAAAATCCTAATGTCACCTACAAGGAATTTAAGTGCCTGGTTCCATGTGATTTTTCCAGTCTAATCTTTTCCCCTCCTTCCTCTCACTCTCTGTGCTTCAGTGAACTTTCTAGAGGAAGTTCATCAGTTCTTTCAGCTTTTCCACACAGTATTACCATTACCTAAAATGTGTCTCTTTTTCCCCTAAACACACACACACACACACACACACACACACACACACTTCCTCTAGCTCACATCCACGTAACCTTTTATGTTACCACTTAAAGTGGTCTTCAGAGACCACGTCTCTGGCACCCTAACCTAATTTAGGTCATCCTATCATTCTCTGCTATAGAACGCCACACTTTTATCCTGACTTTTCTCACTTCTGTATAAATTCTTTCGTGTTTGGCTTTTGTCCATCACTTTCACTAAATTTTAAGCTCCACAAGTAGAGGGGAGACGGCTGTGTTCCCTTCCTTGGAGTCCCAAGGGACAGCGAAATTTGGACACAAGCACAGCCCTAACCAAGTACTTACAGAATGAAGGAGGCTCCTAAGAGGAGATGGTGATGGGGCAAATCCCAGTCCAGTTCACACTTGGAGATGTCCAGGCGAGCATGGAAGCCAAGTGGAGCCCGAATGGCTCAGGAGCAGAGGGGTCTCTTCCGCCCAGCACGTCCTTCCTCCACCGCTGGCAGGTGGAAGATGAACCCGTGGGGTGCCGGTAGAGCCTCCGAGGGAGTCCTAGCGCCCCCCGCCTGCGCTCGGGCGCCTGTCATCGGTGGGCGTCACCGCCAGTCTCTTCCCATGCGCGCGGGTGACAACATCATTTCTGTCCCCACAGCACTTTTCATGGTGCAGGTAAAGTCCGAGTGTCATTTCTCCAACAGCACGCGCGGCAGGTGCACTTCCTGGACAGGTACCTCTATAACCGGGAGGAGCTGATGCGCTTCGACAGCCACGTGGGGGAGGACCCGGCGGTGAGCGAGCTGGGGCGGCCGGCCGCGGAGCTCTGGAACCGCCAGAAGGATGCCCTGCAGCGGGCGCGGGCCGCCGTGCACACCTTCTGCAGGATCAACTACAAGTTCTTGGAGAGAAGCAGCGTGCGGCGGCGAGGTCGTGGGGGGGCGGGGGGGCGATGACAGAGACAGAGAGACACAGAGAGGGACTGAGTCCAGGGTGAGTGTGTAGGATTGTGGACAAGTGCAAGTTACGAGGGTACACGTGAGAGCCTTCTGTGGGAAAACTAAAGTGAGATTTTGTCGACGTGTGCTGGTGAGAGGGGAGAGAGTGTATGTATGGTGGGGGGAGTGGGCCTGGGGTCTGAGAGGACCGGGAGGGAGGGGGGTATGGGGAGAGGGATGCAGGAGCGAGGGCTCCAGGCAGCCTCCGCTGCCGCCCTGGGAGAGTCTGGGGGAGGGGAGACGAAGGAAAAGGCTGACTGGGGTGGGTGGTCAGAGATGCGGGAAGGAACCTCCAGGTGTCTCTGCTTGGGGGAGGGTAGGGGAGGAGAGGTGAGGAATGTAAGAGGTTTAGGAGAACGTGAGAGGAGCCCCAGTCTGCTCTGGTCACACACCCTCTTACTCCTGAAACCCCTGAAATAAATGTGCCGGCGTGGCGTCTGTGTGCAGGCGCGTTTCTTTGAGAATGAAATTTGTGAGGGAGACTAATCTCTAGGGGTGCAACGGAGAAGAAACTTCCACTCGCCTCCGACCTTTCTGAGGCTACTTTTAGGTCTAAATTTCCAACTACTCTTTTGTTTTCTTACTGTGTATATTTTTACATATTTGAAATTATTGTGAAGCTAGCTTTTCAGATATAATTTTGTTACTTAATAATACCATACTGATGTTACTATTTTTATAATGCTAATAGTACTTAGGTAGTTGTGTTTTCCCTTTGTATGGCTGTAAGCAATTTACCTCACATTCCCCATTGTTAGATTTTATTTTCCATATTGCCACTTAGTTAGAAATTTATATCTTATTATTTTTAACTTACATTTCTTTTATTTCTAAAATTCTTCTCTCTTTTTTTCCCCCCCAATTTTAATGACTGCCCAAAGCATTATCTATTAATCTGTTGCCACTAGGGTCCTAGTGTTTTTCTCAGTAATTTTATGGGTTGTCTATGCAGTAAGATTATTAACACTTTGCTGATACTTGATTCAACATTTTCTCCAGTTTGTGGTTTCTATTAGATTCTGTTCAATATTTTCCATGTTGAGAATTTAACGTTTTTTACTTACTGAAATAGAAACTGAAAAATTGTGACTAATGATTTACCATCGATCTTAAATCTGCTATTTTGTGGTACTGTACAAATGTGTCCCCCATTTCTCCTTTCTTTTTTTTTTAAATTTATTTATTTATTTATTTATTTATTTTATTTTGACTGTGCTGGGTCTAGTTGCCACACGACGGCTTCTCTAGTTGTGGCACGCAGGCTTAGTTGCAGTATGTGGGATCTTAGTTCCCCAACCAGGGATCAAACCGAGGCCCTGAGCATTGGGAGGGCGGAGTCTTAACCACTGGACCTCCAAGGAAGTCCCTCTCCTTTCTTTTAAAATAATTGTATCTATTGAGGGCCTGAGAGTGCTAGAGGCTGTCTCAGACGTGAAGAGTCCCAGACCCTGCCCTGATCTCAAATGTCAGTTTAGAAGGAGAGAGAATTCTAAAATGATAACAATTGAAAAACTAGATGTGGCTTTTTTGGGGGAAAAAAAAAAAAGAGCAAGAGAGAGAGAGAGATCCATCAGCTGAGTATAAAACAATAAAAACTTTTTAAATGATTAACTTTCCTTGTTCCTTTTCCTCTGCAGGACTCATGCTTTCCTTGAGACACAACTCATAGAGTTAGAGAATGACCTCTGTCTATTTCTGCTTCTCAGGGGAAGAACCATTTCTGTGCTGTTCTAAGATGTGAGTCCATTGAGGCAGTGTAACCAGGATTTCACACTCTACACCTCTATCTACCCCACTACTGTTCCCTAATTTACCCTTAAGCTGTGAATCACACTTTCTTTCACAGTAAAAACATTCAATAAGTAACTGACGTATACTGAAGGCTAAGTTCTGGTCATTTCTTTTTTTTCTTTTTTGGCCCTCCCTGTGCGGCTTGTGGGACTTTACTTCCCTGACCAGGGACTGAACCTGGGCCTTCAGCAGTGAGAGCGCAGAGTCCTAACCACTGGACCGCCAGGGAATTCCCCCAACCATTTCCTTACGTAGTTTAAGTCCATTAACTCTTTTTTTTTTAATATGATGATCAATATTTTGTATTGAAGTATAGTTGATTTACAATGTTGTGTTAATCTCTGCTGTACAGCAAAGTGATTCAATTATACATATATACATCCTTTTTAAAATATTCTTTTCCATTATGGTTTATCATAGGATATTGAATATAGTTCTCTGGGCTATACAGTAGGACCTTGTTGTTTATCCATTCCATATACAGTATAATAGCTTACATCTGCTAACCCCAGCCTCCCACTCCATCCCTCCCCCAGCCCCACCCTCCTTGGCAACCACAAGTCTGTTCTCTATGTTCGTGAGTCTGTTTCTCTTTCGTAGATAAGTTCATTTGTGTCATATTTTAGATTTCACATATAAGTGATATCATACGGTATTTGTCTTTCTCTTTCCGACTTACTTCACTTAGTATGATCATCTCTAGGTCCATCCATGTTGCTGCAAATGGCATTATTTTGTTCTTTTTTATGGCTGAGTAGTATTCCATTGTATATATGACTCATTTAACTTGAAGAGGTAAATTCATATCATTATCCTCCTTTATAGGAGAGAAACTGAGGCACAGAGGGATTTAAAAACTCTCGCAGGATTAACCAGTTAGAAGTAAAGCCTGGATTTGAACACAGGCAGCCTAGTTACAGAAATCACCCTTTTATTGAATGCACCCTGTGTCTTGCAAAATTTGTAAACACTTCAACAATAGGTAACTCTTTCAAATTATGAAAAGAAACCCCACAATTTTGCTCAACATCTCTCAACTCTAATAGGCCCTGTTATAGGGGTTAAATTCAAGACCCATGACACTGACTTCTCCTAAGCCACATGGCAGTCTGGTCTGCCCAAGGCTACATCTGGTCAGGAGGCTTTCTGTCTCCCTCACTATTCCCTCTACATTTTCTCTCCTACTGGAGCCTACAGTGACTGTGTATCCTGCAAAGACCCAGCCCCTGTGGCACCACAGCCTCCTGGTCTGCTCTGTGAATGGTTTCTATCCAGGCCACACTGAAGTCAGGTGCTTCCAGAATGGCCAGGAAGAGGAGGCGGGGGTGGTCTCCACAGGCCTGATCCCTAATGGAGACTGGACCTTCCAGACCATGGTGATGCTTGAAATAGTTCCTCAGAGTGGAGAGGTCTACACCTGCCACGTGGAGCACCCCAGCTGGACGAGCCCTGTCACAGTGGAATGGAGTGAGAAGCTTTCTGACCTCGAAAATTCCTTACCCATCAGGGAGGAGACTTGCTTACCCCCGAGTGTCAGGTTTCTCCTCTCCCCACAGCATATGTGCATTTTCTCCATGTTCTTCTCTCCTTCAGCTTAGGTTATTGGGGCTGCCCTGTGATATCCTGTGATAGAAATCCCCTGATTGTTTACAGACATCCCGTGATGGTTTCTACAAATACCTATACTCCCTGGGGAGGCAGTTCTGCCTGACAAGCAGAATAGAGGATGTCCCTGTTTTGAGCCTCCCATGACATCACAGGTCGTGGTCACCCCTTGGCCCTGGGCACCAGTGCCCTGCGTCGGGCTGGGCTTGTGCTTCTGACACTCCTGCTCTGAGTTGTTATTGTGACCTGAGGAGGGGCACATCCTCTACAGGGATGTTCCTGTCCTGAGGGGAGTTCAATCTCAACCAGTCCCAGGCTCCTCGTCCATCAGATGTTGAAGACGTGTGGCCTTATGCCAGGGCTGTGATATTTAAGCGATTCACTGCCTGAACCTTGTAGCCATTCCTTTTCTAGGAATGGCCAATTATTCTAGTTCTTTCATATCAGGCTTCTCCCCCCAGTCAAAGCTCTCAGAGTCTCATAGAAGTTGGATTCAGGGTAAAAATCACCCAAACTAGCTTCTTTTCTCAGGGACACGGTATGAACCTTCATGAGGCAAGATGCTGAGTAGAATCCGGGCCTGTGTTATGGGTCTGCTCTTCCTTGGGGTGGGGCTGCTCTTAATCAGGAATTAAAATGGTAAGGAAGCTGTTAGCAGCTGAGATGCCCCGCAGGTTTCTTGGAGGAAGAAATATGGCTTTGCTCAGTGAGTTCTCCGAATATCAATGACCCTATCCTACAGGGTCGTCATACAGGGTCATCGATATTCAGAGAACACATCGAGCAACATTTACCTAGTCAATCTCAAATTTCCTGGAAATCCAGAAATCAACAGTCCGCGGTTATTTATGAGTGAAATATAAGAGGTGGTGGCCTGTACAGATAAGAGAAGCGTTATCATGCATGGAGATCTCAGATGGAGATGCTGGGGCAAATGCAGGAAGAGACGCTAAGCCTGATGAAATGATGCTGGATTTGCGTGACGGAAGCTTCCTAGGTCACATGCTCTCAGGGTCTGCTCTCCTCTCCACCCTGGCATCAGGTGATATGGATGGTGATGTAGAGAAATCTCAGGTGAGAGGGGGGAGTCAGGGGCTGGGGACATTGTATCCGGGAACAGACTTGCCTCCGTATCTTTTAAGTATACATCCTCCCTTCCCTTTCCTAGGATACTCTGGACTTCAGCCAACAGGTAATGCCCCTTCAGCCTCTTTTAGAGATGGATTTGGTCTCCTAGAAATGGTGGTGGAGATGACAAGACAGGAGACAGACAAAATGAGAAAGACTTTGAATTCTGATTAGGTGGTTTGCAATAAAGCTTTGCACCAGCTAGTAAGAGAACAGACTTGTGTTTGCAAAGGGGGAGGGGGTGGGGGAGGGATGGATTGGGAGTTTGGGGTTAGCAGATGCAAACTATTACATATAGGATGGATAAACAGCAAGGTCCTACTGTATAGCACAGGGAACTATATTCAGTATCTTGGGATAAACCATAAGGGAAAAGAAAATGTGTGTGTGTGTGTGTGTGTGTGTGTGTGTGTGTGTGTGTGTATAACTGAATCACTTTGCTATACAGCAGAAATGAACACAGCATTGTAAATCAACTATACTTCAGCTAAAAATAAATAAATAAATAATATAAGAGGCTGTGCTCTAAAGTATCTTTGGCTCAGGGAGGCTTAAGAATGATTTCCCGGGCTTCCCTGGTGGTGCAGTGTTTGAGAGTCCGCCTGC